GAGCCGACGGTAGTAGAGCGGCAGTATATCCGGAAGACTCGCCGGGTCATAAATCGAGGACGGCATCCTCAGACAGTGAAGTAGGTTCTCCGGTACCGAAGGAAAACCGTGTAGTTTGTTTGTTATAAGGTTGTTATTCAGTTACTGCTGAACGTTCAGTCTCCTGTTTTCCAGCGCGGGAAAGTCGTACAGAGCGGACCAGCCAATGAGGTCGAGGCTTGGCCAATGACGTAATCAAAAGGGGACTCTCCTCTTCCGGTAAAACGACTAAGAAAGCCCTGTGCTGTTATTTTGGTATTATTATGCTACTTATATAATAAAGACAAAACGTGAACATGTTTCCTGGTATCAAAACATGAATATGAAATATATGAAATATGAAAACAACAGTTAAAAGAATTTTCTCCTGTTTGTGTGTTAACAAAATGTTAAACAAATGTGTTTGTTAAAGGAATAAACTTTAAAAACGCTTTATTCATTTTTATAGTTTATATTGTTTTACTTTCAAAAATCCATTTAACTTTTTGTGTGCGTTACGAATCAATTTCACTCATGTTTTAATCCAAACGTTGTGATTTTTTTGGCTTTCTCTTTCTGGCCACTTCCTGCGGTTTACCGTTAGGAGGCAGCATACTCCAGTCTACGGTAACAGGAATCTATAAGGTTACCCTCTAGCCCCAGTGTCGAGGGGTAATATGTGAGTAAAAACTGCTAAATTATTTTGTAGACTAAGTTTGGAGGAAACATGGTCATTTAATTAAAACAAAATACTTGTAAATATTTGTAGAAATATATTTTTAAAATGCTGCCTTTATGCTACTGCTATTTGAAGTACAGATATAATCTTTTGTAGTAGTAGGATCAGCATTATTTAATGTATGCAGTAACATCAAGCGTGTACAACGTCTATTATTTCTACCATTTATCATCTTTATGTATTTGTTGCATTATAATGCAAATAGCATCTCTGGTGTCCGTTTATTACAGCGGCTGACTCTCCTAATCAAACACAGGTTTTACCCAAGGGACAAAGAGAGCAATTATTTTTACATGAAACCCATGGCTGACTTTACATATGCTCCCACCACACGGCACATGTAGCAGCGGCTGCCAGCTCCTCATACATGACAGATGGCTTCATCAGTCTGAGGTACAACACAATTCATGAGTGTCGGCCGTCCGGGGAGTTAGTGGTGCGTGGCGTGTTATTCCAAACTGCTCATCGGTCACAGAGGGCTTTTCAATGCCATTCATGAGTTTGAGAATATACAGAGAGAGAGAGAGAGAGAGAGAGACCAGTGGCACCTGCTGCAGACTGCAGTGATGAAGAAGGTCCAGTTTCTGCTGCATCGTGGTCTGTACACCATAGAAAAGTACAGTAAAGGTAAAGGTCTTTTTTTTATTTTGAGAGTAATTTTACTGATGTTAAAATGTTTATAAAAAAATGTATATATATATGTTTCATGTCTTGGTGGAGTGAAATAAATAATGTTTTATTTGTGTTACAAATAAAAATAATATAATTTATTATAAATATGTGTCTCTAAGTACAACTAGTTATTTCATTTCTGTTGTTTAGTCAAAAATATATTTTCTTACTTTTTTAAGAAATCCCATTCATTGTCCTAATGTAAATCAATTCATATATTCACATTAAATACTTGTTTGTCTAAAACTTTTCTTTTTAAATTATGAATATGACACTTTTTAAGAGAAAAGATTCAAAATTATTATTTTTTATCGTTCAGTGAATAAAGTTGTCTGATGAACATGGTGTATTATTACACCATGTTAACAACAAACAACAAACAATGAGTAAATTGCTACAAACACAAAGTAATGACTAGAAGGTGACGACAGTTGATTTATGGGCCTTTTTAAATGACCTGGTGGACCTGCTCTGGCCTGTGTGCCTTAGATTTGACACGTTGGATCTGCGGTTAAACCTGTGGTACAGCATGAGTAAAGGGGGGAGGGAGGGGGGGTCAGGTGGTACATTAGCATTGATAAAGACCCCGCAGCTCTCTGCCCTCCTCACCTTTCTCCCCTCCCCCCTCCCTCTCTGTCGATTTCTCTCATTGGTCGCTTCGACGACACAAAGTTGAGCCGAGTCTCCTTCTCTCTCCCCCTCCCTCCCTCCCTCTCTCCCTCCCTCCCTCTCTCCCTCACTCACTCCTTGACTGAGCAGCAGGGAGGACGCAGCTCGGGTCACAGCCGCCGCACCGGGACTTTTCCTCCATCACTTCCACGGAGACCAACCTTTAGCCGCAGCATGAAGGAACGACGACTCCCGCAGACTTTTGTAGCCCGGTGTAAACTGGTGCTGGTCGGAGACGTCCAGTGTGGGAAAACTGCCATGTTACAAGTACTGGCCAAGGACTGTTACCCAGAGGTACGAGTATAACGAGTACACATGTATTTGGTGTAGCGTCACCTAATGACGTCACTCAGAAAGAACGGATAATAATCTTAATATGGACATTAACCTAAGCTTTCACACTACTACATATATATATATTTATATATATATATATATATATATATATTCTGTGTCAGTGTGTATTTAAAAATTGTAAAATAATTTATAAAATAATAAATGTGTAAACATTTCATGTTTAGATTTTCTATCATATATATGTCCATTTCTCTCTCTCTGTCTCTCTGTATACTGTAACTATAGTACTGTGAAGTATATTGAATAGTTGCAGTA